ATTTTAATGAGTTAATGTTGTTGAAAACATCTTTACAAATCTTTATGAACTCAAAGTATTTAAGTATGCTAAATACTTAATACATTAAAAATTTTAAAATAGAGGACGTGAAGTCAGGGGGTAAAGTGGAGGTAGAGATAGGGAAGAGTGTCTGAATATGATCAAAATACATTGTGTGAAATTCTCAAAAAAAATCAATAAAAATATTTTTTAACTCAATATAGTTGGCTGGGGATACTATATTAAATGGCAAAGCATTTGACTGTTATGCACAAGGCCTAGGTTCAAACCCTAGTATCACAAAAAGTTAATTTAGAATAAACTGAAGAAATGCTATATGTATAATAATAAAGCATTATTGTATTGTTTCTCTAATGAAAAAGGAAGATTAAAGGTTAACATGTACTAATTATATTCTGTGACAATATACTCTATTAATAATTTTGAATAGAAAAATACAGTGATGCAATTTCATAAATTTAAAAGGAACTTTAATAAAAATATATTACAAACTATTCATGTGATATTACTGAATATAGAATATAAATGCCAAGAATTCTTTTGTAACATTAACTAGGTAGCATTGTGAAAGGTAAAGTATACAGAATAGATAGCAGTCTGAGGGGTTGTATTGAAATAATAGAAACAAATTCTACTCTGGCTTCTTGTTTAATGCCATACTTACATGTAATTGACAAATGACAAGCAAAGACATGAGACAGAACTTTGTAAGCAGCCATGCAAGTCAATTACCTTAGTAAACATAAAAAATACAGTATTTATGATAAATCTGTACCAACCATTAAGGAATCTAGACTACTGGATTTAAAAACTATAAATCTCTTGGGATACTCTATCAAATGCCTTTTCCAAAACAGTGTCTTCCTAAATGTTATACTGTGGTTTTACTTTGTATTTGTGTTAAATTACAGAATTTAATTTTTGCAGTTTCTGAAGTTTTCCCTACTACTATGCTATTGCTTATTGGAAATACTAATGGAGTTTAAAGTAGAACTGAATACTACGATGTCCTTAATATAAGATGATTCCTCAATCCTGAATTAACAAATTATACAGAGGCACAGCAATACACAGACACAGTTTTTCCACAGTGTACATAATTATAAGTTCTAACATTTTCACCCTGTCTTGAATAAGATTTTTCTTAGAAATACATTGGTTCTATGTGAATGGTAAACTTTGTTACATAAAGATACAAACTGTAAACAATTCATGCCTTATTCTAAGTTAAAATGTTACAGTAGATAAATACCAAGAGCTCTGTGAAGCTAAACATTAGCTTGTCAAGTGATGTTATAATATAAACCTGTATTTCTTTTCATATCTACGTTTAGTGAAAAAACTTCACAGTAACTTTAAGTGTAGTTTCTTATCAACAACAATGGAGAACTGAAGCCATGAAAGAAGGAGATCAGTAAAACTCTCCAGTGTCCTATAGAAACTTGTTCCATAAGTCATTTTAAATATTGCAGAGAAACACACTTTCAAGGCCAATCTGTTAATATTACTAACCACTGTGATTTATAGCACATAAAATACCTGCTGAAGAAACTACCCTTTTTACCTCTTTAACTGACCTATGAAAGAATGCTGAGGTTTCTTTACTACACAAAATAAGCTATCCTACCTCTAATATTAAATAGCCATCATATTATTAATTTAAATTTTGAAATGCTGAACACAAGTTCAGATTTTTGGTCGTAGAGCAAGCCTTGAGTACTCAAGCAATGAAAGTGAGCCAGCAACTCAAGAAGCTCAATTTTCCTCCCCCTACTGTACTTGTTTTTCTTACATATCTATAAGCAGTTGAGAACTCACCATTGGAATTATACAGAATCTGCATAGTGTCAAACTCCAAGGTTGTGTAAGTTGGGTCCAAAACTTCGCTGTAGTTTCCCATGTCCATGTCTAGTATTGGCTCTGAAACCCTCATCATCGGCTGAGAGACACACATACAAATGGTTCCACACACCCAGAATGTGGTGACTGTTTTGCTTTCAATCTGTGAGTGCTAACTAGAGCTAACTGTCACTGGGTGACTTAAGTGCTTCTGTGGGAGGGGCTGTCAAACTGTAACCTCCTCAGCAAGCCATATTATGCTCATTTCTTCTTTTATGGCCTACGAGAGCAATAGTGTGTGATAATCTTGGAATGTTTCATGGAATTGACTTATCTGAAGTGCTTAGTAGACTAACATGGTTTTCTAAATTGATTTCCAGTACACAATAAATGAAGTCACTTAGAAAAGGACTGAACATAGAAAGGAGGTCCTGCCAGGGTTAACTTGAGATTGTTATGGATGGCAGTACACATGAGGGGCTTGCCACATTGTTTTAAAAATTCAAATTTACTTTGCTCTTTTAATTAGGTAAGTCAAAACTTTAAATTGTCACTTAACACACTGAACACTTAGTAGTTTCAGATTTCCTGTGCATGTACAATAAAACCAACTTTGTTTATTTTGAAGTGGAACAAATTCATAACTATAATGATAGGGATTTATGATGTATTCTAGTAATGTACTGGCAGGAACCCAATATGACCTGTATAATATTGCCTTTTATTTTTAATTTGTGGTCTGTGTCCCTCCGCATTTTAAACTTCTGATGGGCATAACCAGTATAGTGTCTAGTATGTTATAACTACCCAATGAAAAATTATCACATGAATAAGGATTCATTTCTTGACTTTTGATGCAAATTACATCATAGGTGATAAAGAAAAATTTCTCCAATGTATTGGTTCATATATTCTGGCCAACCCCAATGTATAATATAGCATTTTTTTTCCTTGCTTAACACTTTATTGGGCTCAGAGTGTTAACATACATTTATCTCATTTTCACCTAAATATTTTTTT